TTATTATACGAAAACTGTCTTTCATTTCCACAAAAAAAAACGAAATGACTTTCCGAACAACCCTATACATAAGCATATCTTTAAAATTTTGCAAGGTCATCCCTGCTGCATCTAGCAACGCAAGTTATGCAATCATACATATGAGTTTAGACAGTTTAGTTTGTAATATGTTTACTAAACGTTATATTGGATACATACTGTAAACTGTCTACGTTTGACGGCACTGAAATACAAACAGCTAGCCACATGTGGGATATCACCAGGGGAAGAGGCATATCATACTAACTAACAAGAAGTTCTAAACTGATGTTTACAACGAAATTATACATGTCGATATAATTGTCCGAGTAATACCCCCAACTCGGAACGCAAATTTCCGTTCCCTATAACATATATTGGTGGCCGGAGGCATGAATTCATAATATTAGAAAACATTAGACGGTTTAAATCTTCCCTTTCCTATTATTATTACTGCAACATGGCAGTAACCGATCATGTGGCCACTGCTAGAAAATTCACGTATAGGAATAGCTTTTGACGTTTGCTAATCACTTAATTGAGGTGATTTTATCTAATAGTGTCTTTTATTTTGTATTTCTAATGACACGTGCAAATTAAGAAGTTAGCACAGAACTTAAAAATTATAAACTCCTATAAGGTTTTAATTTTAATTAATTACAAATGACTCTACGTTCGACCCGGATTATCATTATCAACTTGATCTGATCTGATTGACACTAATGTAAGGTACGGCGACCCTCAGACAGACGACCCAACTAAACAGAAGACTAGATTTTTGCTTGTTAACTTCGCACATGCACTCTAATCATAATCCAAATCCAAAAAACTAAAGAGGTAAACAAAATATTACGATCTTGCTTAATTTTGGAAATATTTACAACATACGTGAATGGACGAGTGCTGTGGATGGTCGGCTGGTGGTTCGGCGGGTTTGGGTTCATTTCCGGACCGATGTCTTGTCTTTTTTTTTATCTTTCTACTTTCTACTTCTGTTTAATTGCTAAATATGCAAAATTACGATTATATACAAAAAATGTATCCTACATAAAAACCCGATACCGTAAAAAGAACGTTGGAAGAAAAAACCGCAGGAAACACCTACAACAAGTGGGTAGGTACCGTACATAATTAATTTTATTTTACCACTTAATGTATTAATGTCTTCTCAAGTTCAGGAAGGTGATGCTGATGTTTCTTAAACTGGAACTAAGTAACCTCTCCATCAACACATTCCGGAACTTTTTTCTTTCTTATCCAATATTACGGAAAACACTCTTCTCATTTTACATTCCAAGAGCGAATTAAACTAAAGCTGCTGAGGTAATTGAAGAGCTGTTACTGAACTTTATCCCAACCGCCCACTGAATTCCACTTCTACAATTTAATTATCGAAGTTAGTTTGTTACGTACCGCACGCTAATGTTGTCGGATAAATAGTGATTAAGATACAAAAGTGGCACGTGACGGTAAATTACAGGTCATCTTGCAATAGTAAACACCATATTTGAAAACTTAATTACAGCAATACTCTAATTGTGGTTTTCCGTAATCGTCTACGCTGCTAATGCCGGATTATCTAGTAGACTTATTTGGTTAATCCACAACTTAAAATATCCGCAGAATTTCATTCAGTTTCTATTAACATCAAAAATACTAAACTTTAGTGGATAAATTATTGTAAATTTTCTGTCCGTAAATTAAAAGGCCGCGTTATATAACAAAGGTCTGCGATAAAAAAGTTTATTGTATTGTATTATTTGTTGTATAAATTTATCTTAAGCATGCAAATGTTGGTCTATATTTTGCAAATATAAATTTTGTTTTAACGTATCACGTCACATTTTTTTTGTATATAGATTAATATATGTATATAAATATAGCTCTTTGAATCGGTCAATTTATTTGTTTTTTCACAAAACTCATTTTATATATTATATTTCTATTTAATACTCTCTGACTGAGCATTATATTGTCTTTTACTTTATTTTAGATAGTCTGAAAGTAACTATAGTCGTTTACACCGCCTGAAAAAAAATAGTTTATAACGTGCCATTATTGAGAGAGATATAATATTAACGTGAAGTGTTAAGACAGTGGACTTATGGTAAATCAAAATCATTTTTATTTGGTATTTCTGTCTGAATTAGAATGCAATTGGAGGTCGGAGTGAAAAATGCCAATACGAGTTTGAAAGAATAAAGTATTGCTTCCACCACTTTACATTTAACTTGGTTTGATCAAACAGTTTGTAAAGACATTTCGACTTGACCAACGGTTTTTATTTCATGTTTAGATATCGAGGTCGTGATTTATATAGGTTTTAAGCATATAAAAAAATCGTAAGGACACAAAAAATTACTTTTTAAGAAAAAAGTCAATTCAAAAATTACGTTTTTTTTGTTTATTTTCGATCTTTCCATGCTTCAATATTGTCGGAGGTAATTTTAACCAACACCATCGTTAAAAACATAGAAACACTGGTTATCGAATATTTTTTCGTCGCACTCATTACGTGACAAGGGTTTAAATGGAAATGTGTTCACTGAGCATTTATGGGTTAATGTGACGTGGTATGTACCATATGAATATCGTTTTTCATTACTTTTAAGACAATTACGGCAAATATTAACAATTTAAGAAAAAAACTTTCCAAAAAAAAATTTCGCAGACCTGTGTAATTAAAACAGTGTGAACACCTACTACAAAATATCATTTTCTTTCAATGTTCACATGTAATACAATGACTCATCCATAAGTTAATGGGGATAATAAAATACATTGATTAAACAGTATTTTATCCCTTTTACGATCTGACAATTGGTCTTAAAAGTACGAGCGACCGACCACCCTCCGTAAATCGGAATTAAATGGAATATTTATGACCCGGATGAATCTGGAACGGTCGAGCTCTTTACAACGTAGTTACAGGGTTTGACTTAATGGCAATGATATTACGGCTCATTTAATTTAACTTTTAAAGGATGGCAACGGCGACGACAACACTTCGCTTTTAGAAGAGATCCAGACGACGCTTCCATTAGAAGCGAATTGTGACCTTCGCAAAATGACATTTCATTGATAATAATAAAACATGATTTTCTTAATTTCGAAATGTTATTAGTTATTATACGAGGGTGGATTGATAAGTTTCCGGCCTGACCAAGAAAAACAAGGTTTTTAAAAATTTTTTTTTTTATTTCTCAACATAATCTCCTCCAAGGCTGATACATTTCTCATAGCGGTGTTCCAGTCTATTAATGCCATCTCTATAGACTGATTCGTCAAGCTCCTCAAAATAACCATTTACAGCTTCGATTAC